TTACAAATTTAGTCTATTATTTATAGTTATGGCATTATATTGATTTCTTTAAAAGTATGATTTGAAGTCAATTATATTCATTTGCAAATTTATTCATGGGTAGCAAAGGGGATATTAAAAAGCACTTTCTACAAAAAGGGAAAATGAAGTGTGATGGATTGAAAACCAATGTTTTAATAATTTTTAATATATTCATAGCCTCTATTAAAAACAGCAGCCCAAATTAAAAAAAAACTTGGTGTGAAACAATTTTCAATAGACAGCCACAATACTATTGGCTGATAGTTAATTAGAACATATAGACTTCTCAGTAGATAGCAGTGATAATTCATCACATACAACCTCATGGAGAATCTCCCAGAGAGAAAAAGAGCACACTTTGCCTGCAGGTTCCCACTTAGAAGTGAAGATATTGGGACTTTTAACCCCTAGCCCAAAGAGAAACCTATGATTATGATGTGTACATTACTAGGAAAGTTTTTTTAAAGAACTTTGTGGCGAACAATTTTATTGAATAAATTTTTGTCTACTGTTGACTATATACATATGTATATTAAAATTCTATATAAATTTTAAAAAGAAAAAAACTCATGTTCTATGTGGTGAATTTAGATTTCTGAAAGAATAGAAAATTAACTTTTGCTTTCCTTTTGCAAAGGAACTTTGAAAGCAATGAATCCAGTCCCCAGCATCCTCTGTCCAACTGGGAGATAGTCTTTCTTTCCAGCTAGTAGATATGTTTTTTGTTAGCCAAACTGTATTTTAGCCTTGTCTCCCTGCACAGAATAAAGGCTTCTGGAATTCCAGAGTCATAGCCCACAGAGCATGTCCCTTCTCTATGCTGTACATTCTGCCACTTATTCATAGTTAATATAAATTGTTATTAACAATTGTTATTAACAATTGTTACCAGGCCATACATTCCTTCTTCCCATCTCCATCTTGAAAACAGATCCAAGGCAACAGAACCAAGGTCTCCAGAAATAAACAATATCTAAAATCAGATGATCAGAACTTCTGTATCCCTGAACAAGCTAACACCAGCACCAAATACCAAAGTGTTATTAAAACAAACACAGGACAATAGTTTAAATTCAATTCTTTCACTATAAATGATGTTTTAGTTTTCATACAACTGTTTGCATCACATTCAATTGGTAGAGAATTTAAACTTTATGTTTGAAAACTCTTCAAAGAGAAAGGGACTGTGAACTTCTCTTGAAAATACTAGGAGTCAACCCTGAAAAGTAATATTTACACTTGCTGGTATTGTAGAAGTTAAATTAACTATGGTTAATTCAATATATCAGAAGCACAGAAAGTCAAGAGTAGCAAGAAATGGGGCTGGGGAGACAAAGAGGATTCCAGACAATACAGGACCCTATAGACCATGTAAGGAGATTTCTTTTATTTCAAAATAATGCTTTACTCGGATGTCTATGAGAACTATGAACTAGCATTTACAATTCTGAAATTCTCCCCCACATTAAAACTAGGTCAATATCAGTAAGTTGCCAATTGGAAAAAGAAAAGAGAACATGCATAATTTGCAAAAGTACAATTAGGCACATTCAAACTTAACATGAAATTATAAAATACTCTTTTGGAACATATGAAAATATACCTGATAGGCACATGGTGCCTAGAATGCATAAATGGACAATTGTTTATAAACATTACAAAATACAAAATAAGACATAAATTTCTAGAAAAAACAATAGCTATGCTAGTCTTGTTATTTAAGTTTTCAAAAAAGATACAAGTAGGGAGAGAACAAACTCAGTTATAGTTGACACAAGAAAATCCAGACCTAGGGAGGATAGAGTTTCCAGGAAGTACAGGAGCTGGCAAGAGTAGACCTGTGGAGAAGAGTGGTTCCAACAAAGGGTAAAATAATGTCATCTCAAATACCTAGTACACTAGAGTGGAAAATAGAGACAGGAGCAAGGGATATTTGGAGCAACAGGTAAGTTGTTGACACTAATAAAATGTGACAGTATCTGGTAGCACCTAGGTACTATATAGAGGCTTGAGGATTTCCAGTCTTCAATAAAAACAAAAAAATAGAGAGAGAATATGGAAGGACCTCAGGGGTAGATGGTATGTTTATGTTACATCAAGAAGAGTCCCAGTTATTCTGATCAATACAAAATGCAGGTATGGGGTTGTCCCTTGGACAATACCCTCAATATAAAAATCGAGGATTTAGGTCGGGGAGGACTTAATACTAAGTTCCAGACTGTTGGACCAAATCTCTTTAGGTTCTTCTTTCCATATTTAAAACTTGTTTTAGAAGCTTGGATGATGCTAAGACTACAAGCTAGAATTAAGTGGATGGAATTATGAAGATAAAACAGTTATCAAGCCTGGGAATAGGAGAGGCAAACAGTATTTGCCTAATAATAACTGAATATTGGACCTGAATATTTTAGTGTGTAAAAATTATTCTGCTATCAAAAATGATCTTACCACATTCTACAAAGTTTGAGCTGGAATGTCCCTAAAGGCCCACAGTGTTCGAGGCTTAGTCTCCAGCTTGGCACTATTGGGAAATGGTGGAAACCTTTAAGAGGTGGGGCCTTAACCAGGAACAAAGCTGTCTGTCTATAATCCCAGCTATCTGGGAGGCTGAGGTAGAAGGATCTCAAGTTCCAGGCTTGCATGTGCACCTGAACAAGACCCTATTTCAAAAGAATATTTTAAAACAGGAGCTGGTTATAGCTCAAAGTAATAGTGGGTTCAATTCTGATTACTGGGGGAAAAAAGTGTGGGGGCCAAATCAGAGATCTTCTGGACATTGAGGACATGGGATCAAAGGGGATAACAGGACCCAATACCTTTTCTCCTCCTCCCTTTCCTCTCTCTCTTTCATGCAGATCATGAGGTAAGGAGCTTTTCAACCATGCACTCCTTTCTATGATGTGCTGCCTTGCCACAAGCCCAAAAGCAACAGAGCCACATGACTATGGACTTAAATCTCCAAAGCTGTGAACCACAATAAACATTTTCTCTTTGTAAGGTGATTATCTCAAGTGTTTGTTATAGTAACAAAAACTTAACTAATATACCATATAATTCCCATTCTAACACCTACCACCGTAACCTGTAGTAGGTATAAATTCCCTTGATTTCTCAGAGAACATAGGGAATGATCTGGCTTGCAGATACTTAGTGTATGTTCTTAGTCTCATCAATATTATTTTAGAAGTAAGCTATCTGAGGTCTAAAACTGAGCTAAAGAGGAAAAAAAATGCCTTGAAAAAGTTTACATAGTCCATGACATATATTTACACTGAAAACCTTCAACAATTCCTTTTCAGCTAATAATTAGCCCACACAGAACCACCAAAAAATCATATTTCATAATAAGCATTGGAAGAGATGGGAAAAGTAGGTCTATACATGCATATTTACCTTTTTATATGAGCTATTTTTCCTAAATATGAGCTTGTGCAACTGAGGTGCTCTTGACATCTGTGGGCTCTTGATATCTTGCATCACACACTATCTACGCACTGTATCTAAAGAAGTCCCCAGACAGACCAACTCAGGCATCCCTTAAAGCTTACTCCTTGGGCTGAGGCTATTAGCTCAATGGTAGAGCACTTGCCTAGCATGAGTGAGGCACTGGATTCGATCCTTAGCAACACATCAAAATAAATAAAGACATTCTGACAATCTACAACCACAAAAAAATTTTTTTAAAAAAAGTTTACCCGTGGGCTGGGGACATAGCTCAGTGGTAGAGCACTTGTCTAGCACATGTGAGGCAATGAGTTCAATTCTCCGCACCGCACAGATAGAAAGAAATACAACAAAGATCTATTGACAACAGAATATTTTTTAAAAGAGCTTACCACCAAGGTAAATTATTAAATCCATAGTTTTACTCCCCTAAATCAGCTTAGTACTCATATATATATAATTACAAACTCAGTTCTGACTTAGTTTATCACACAAGAGAAATTAGTAAAACAAACACACTCCAGGGGCATCAAAAGCAAAAGCAATCTAGATTAAGTTGGGCTGAACAGACACACCTCTTCCTTGGGTGCACAGAATAACTCACCACAAGGCTTTCCCCACATGCCTCTCTTTGCTTTTCTCCACAAGTCCATCAGGTTAAGTTAACCCACAAAACTTCACCATAAACAGTCATCAATGAAAAAACATGCAATATGTCTTACAATGTTGGATTTATTTAAAATATGACAAAAAAGTGAGCTGAAAACCCAGAGCCTCAAAGAGCCATCCATAGACTACAAACACATTAATGAGTGACAAAAATGAGATGACATGACATAAAATAAGAAAATTGTATGTAAGATTTTTATCTTAATTGTACAGAATTCATTATATTTCTGGATTTTCTAGCTAGCTAATTTTTAAAAATTATATATATATAAATTACATTTATTATATATATATATATATATATATATATATATTATACATACATACATAGTTTTTAAAGGATTACATATATAGAGACAGCCAGCCACAGTGGCATACACCTGTAATCCCAGCAACTCAAGAGACTGAGGCTGGACAATTGCAAGTTCAAGAAGAGCCTCAGCAATTTAGAAAGTCCCTAAGCAACTTAGCGAAACCCTGTCTCACACTGAAAAATGAAAAGGGTTGAGGATGTAACTCAGTGAGAAAGTGTCCCTGGTTCAATTTCAGAACTGCCCCCCATTTGAATTGAGACAAAAAGACTGACTTGTTTCTGACAAAATTAAAATATTCCATGGTAACCACATTTTTCTTTACCCTCAATTTCTTTCTATTCTCCTAAAGTTGTCTTCTAACTAT